CACCACGGGTATCGAAACCCGGTTTCTAGCGTTGCACGTCTACAGAAATACCAATAAATAATTTTTATACATTTTACCTCATCTAATTTATATCCAACAGAAAGACAAAGTTTTAATCTATGAGTGTTGTATATGGTCATGTTTGTTTTTTTTCGCTATGGTATAGCTCATTCAGAACATTTCTGTGGAGCTGTTCAGAAAGAGTATCTAATGGATTTTTAATGCGCTTAAGCAATAGTTAGAAAGCCAATTAAATTATAATAGTGATATTTTTGGTTTGTTGCCTGTTATCATTCTGTGTTTCTGGGTGCAATTTTAAATAAATAAATAAATACTACTTCGTGTACCAGAGGCATGACTGTAAATGTTTAAGAATTAAATTTCACCGAGGACTGACACTGAACTCGTGCAAGTTTGTGCGTAAGTCCGCGAATTATGTAATTAAATACGTTAGACTGGGCTGAGCACTCGCCGAGTATTTGGTTATACAAGTTCAAATGGTAAACAACAACAACAATATGATTAAGTAGAAAAAAAAGATGGAAAACGTTACAAGCCGTAATCTACTCAAGATAAACAAATATAGTATTCAGTTACAATAATAAAATTAGAGTTATTTCGTATTTTCAGGGCCGTAGTTATGAAAATGAGGAGTGAGCAAATCGAGGCCCCGTAGCGCCAGAGGGGGGTGGGTGGGTGAGAGAGTCTCCCCTCCTACGTTGAGGAAATTTTTTTAAATATTTACCTTGAAATTGAGCAAAATAGTGTATTTTCAGAAACATTCAGGCATACTTGATTGACTGTCTATAAACTAGAGGAAGTGGATGTAAAATAGATGCTATACATTCAATACTGGGCCTACAAAGTAAAAAAAGAAAACCAAAAAACAACAACACGCATGTAAGGTATTAGATCTATCATGTACAAATCTAATGTCAAGATGAAGAGCTACATAGCAACAGCTTGGTATACCGGATTATTACAGTATAATATATGCGCTACACACATATTTCTAAAAAAAGAACTATTGCTTAATGTTACGACAGCGGAAGTCACGTGACGTTGCTGGCGCGTTGGCGCTGGTAGCGTGCGTGATGAGTTTCTCGAATGATCGGGGAAGTCCGAGTGTGTTCGAGATGTCCTTTTCATTTGTATATAAGCCTGGCAGAGAAAGCCAGCAGCGGTGAATGAAGAGAAAGCATTAGTTACTTTATGATTCTGTTAGTTTCGAGCAAGTGAGCCGTAAAGTGTGTGTTTTGCACTCGTCGAGAGCGAAGTTATCAAGATTGTGAATCACTGTGATTTATAGCGGGTATTATAAAAGTTGTTAAGTTTAAAGTGACGAGCAATGTATTGATTGTGGAACTTCTGTGTACCAAAAGTTTGTATCGAGGAAGAATAAACTGGTTTAATCAAGAATGGACTTGTATCGCTGAAGATCCTCGGAAAGAATTTCTATTGGAAACAAACAAACAACCAGATACGTAACAATAGTATTGTATAATCATGGTGAATCAAACCAAATTGAGAAAATTATGTTTCTGGCAAGTGAGTCATTCACTAATGCAAGTTCATTTAGTTTCTGACAAATGTGTTATGGAATCTTTAAACTAGTTTCAATACTCCAAAATAATCAATTCGCATCTGTCGTGTTTGAATGAATATATTTCCGACTTCCCTCAGGTCTAACTCATCCGTGAAATAAGAATGAACATGTAAACTCATTAAGTAGTTATGACGATCTTGGGCAATTGTCGCCCTCGACTAAGTTTTCACAAGTCTGGTTGCGGGCATAGCTACAATGAGTTGATAAAGTGTTACATCTACTGTCACAAGCCTTTTTTCAGCAGCAGTCATAGTTTTAGCCTTTTCAATAACTTCCTTTACTGCTATGACACCATTTAGAAAAAAACGTTCCTAAAGTATGTAGCTGAACTTACAATTTTGAGCCACTAACGTCTCCTAGTTCGTATCTGTCTGTATCACCATAAGAATAGATAATTTAGTCAATCTCTGCATCACAGGTTTCCTGGTTGGCAGCTTTCATAAGAACTAATTCCAATGTTTTGTAAATTCTATATCCAGGTTGGGCAAATCCTTCCTTCATACAGTTTATAACTGTGACTAGAGCTTCAAAGTAAATTGCTCTAAGTCTGTCTTCAGCACTCTCAGGAAAATGTTCATTGCCGATACCTTCTTCATACCTAGGGTTTCATTTTCTTTTTGTAGGCAACCGTGCTTACTAATGTCCAGTGCATCAGCTTGTTGAAGTTTGCCTCTGAACGCATCATGTTTACCCTCTCCATCAGATATTGACCTTCTGTTGTGCTTAGGTTAGCCATCTAGAGACCTTTACTCAAATTGTCACAGTGACTAAGGATGAGTTCTCCCAGACTTAATCTAAAGTAAAAATCAAATTTGTCCATAACAGTATCCCCCCCCCATAATTCTGGACTGCATCTCTGGGTCCTTAACCTTCTCTTCTGAAGTGACCCACAGTTTCTGCAAATACTTGTAATTCTGTTTGATAGATGCTATAGTTCGTCAATATCCCATCTATCTGGAGGGGCAGAAATCTCGGATACCTGGAGTTTTTCTTCAGCATCAGAGTCTTCTTCTTTAATTTGAGAGTGACTTCCCTTCCTGGAGATTTATTGATCAACCTGGTGATTTCATGAGTATAATCTAGTGCCTTATGGAGGCGGCTAATTAATCAGAGGGTATCCTGGCCAAATTTAGCACGTGGCCATAGCAGTAGATGTAGAGGACCCTAGGTTTGATGCTGGCAATTTCTGATACCACTCATAGCACTTGCTCCAGCATAGCACTGACCTCGTAACATTTTCATGGACAAATTTCCCCTCAGCATACACATATTTAATCACATGGACTAGTGAATTTGCATCCATTGAGCTAACAGAGTAAAGACCAACAAAATCTTCATGGACTTCACAGTTTTCATCTAACCACCTGCAACACAGTGTCACCTGTTCTACATTTCCTATATCGGTCGTCTCATCTACAAGAACTGTACAATACCTTGAACGTTACAGGTTCTTGAAGATATGCCTTAGGATATGATTGCCCATAATTTCTTGAATTTCATTTTGTGTTTCTGCAGAAGTATGTTTGTTCCTTTTCTTCTGTAGCCATATGGCTAGTTTGGGTTCATCCTCAGTTTGCAACAGGTTCAGCTGGTGAAAATTAGACAGAACATAATTCTTCCCCCTGATTGCCTTCCAAGGAAATGCAAGTTTAAGATCAGTTTTAGCATGCATACCTTGCAATAATTTCTTTCTTGCTTGTACATGGAAACGAATATGTCACCTACATCATGTGTACATTCATTCCATAGTGCTCGGACTTCCCAATGGGAAGTGTTTGAAACAAAGCATAACCTTCATTCCAGTTGGTATATACTCTGGTAATGAAGATGTGGTCTAGATGTGAGTTATTTCTAACGTTAGTCTCATGGTACATGTTATTATATGTCACACAAAGGACCACATCCAGACTCTCAATGTGACGTAGCCACTCGTCCATTTCAAACCACAATGGTTTGCAATGGGTCTTCCTTGGATTGTTTTCCCCAAATATCCTCCAAGGAAATTTGTAGCCCTTTGCAGGTACATACCTCTCAATGATTTGTGAATTATAGCGTGTGTTTAAGTTAAAGTAACTGTGGAAATTAAGTGTATTGCAAAGTTGTATTGAGAAAGAATAAACTAGTTTTATTTAAGAAAGGACTTGTATCGCTGAAGTTTCTGGGAAAGAATTTCTACGGAAAATTAACAAACGAACAGAGACGTAACACATACGTAAAACAATGTCTGAACATACATTTCAATCCTTATAATTATATCCTAGTAATCCAATTGAAGAAGGGATAGATTGTGTTATGAGTATGATTAGAGAAAGCAGAGATGACTTAAAATTTTTAAATATTTCAACAGATTGGTTAAAACGAGCTCAGAGGTTTGTGTTAAATAATGGGTTTGTAAGATTTATCATAGAATTTTATAAGCAAATGAGAGGAATAGATAATAGGGTAGCAGTTGTCTTAGCTGTAATATTTACGCATATACTTGAACATAAAGCATTTAATTATTGGAAAACTGGAATATGGTACTGGACGCACTTCATATATACTGTTACGTCTCCGTTTGTTAATTGA